CAACATCATTAATCTGGCTATGTCAGAGCCTCACTCAGAGACAATGCCTGGATACACAGCCTCTCACTGAGACGCTGTGCTGGCTCTGCCCACCACCACGCAGGTGCATCGGGAGGTCAAGGCGCCTGCCCACAGCAAAGCCGGCAGAAGTTCCCTAAGATAAGGAAGGAAGAAATCTAGGTGCCTATTATATCTACCTGCAAGGCACAATACGAGTCAGGAGGAAAGATCACCCAGCAATGTCATTCCTGTCCACACAGCCAGGTGGTTTCTGTGGCTGTCCTGGCCTACACCAGCTACCTGCACTGAAACCTACGTCCCAGCATGAATTCCCCACTTCTGCACAAGGAGATGCTAGCACTGGGTTTCTCATGAGCATCTCTCTGACCTGGAATAAACCCCCAGAGCTGAGAGATGTACCTCTAAACTGGTGTGGTATCCTGCTGCCTCAGCAGCTTGTGGGGGTTTAAATCCAGGTACAGGAGGATCCACAGGTCTTGGTGAAGGTTTCTCAGAGAAGCCCAGGAGCACAGCTTTTACTTTAGAATCAGATTAATTAAAAACATTCTTCAGTTTCTATTGAGAGTTCAAATTCCCAGAAGGATCATAAGATATCCTACCTAGTTATCTTCTCTCTGAGGGAAAAAAGAAAATCTCTGAATTTTCTCTCTGGAGGAGAGCCGAGATTGGGTCTGATTGTCCTCAGAGGAAAAATACTAGGGAACAGGCAGGGTGGATACTAGCAGCGTACTGTTTCTACATAAACTTTCAGCTATCTCAAGGGTTTTAAACCTGAGACAGGTACCACAAATTACAGTACCCAAACTCTTATAATCATTAGCTTTATGAAAGCATGCTTCTCTACAATCCCCATGCATGTACACAAGAGGCTGGGACTTTTTGGTGGTTGAGACGTGGGTTCCCATGGAACTTGTTAGGGCAACCCTAAGAGAGAACGGTTCCCCCAAGCAGGACTATCTCTCACTGCAGTCAGGGTTGACAGGTACAAAGGAGGAAGGATTATAATATCCATAAGCAACAATGATTGAGTCCTTCTTATGTTTCAGAAAAGGTGCTAAATACCATATATTGACACATAGTTCCATCTGATTATAATTTTCACTTTATAGATGTGGAGATCGAAGCTTAAGCACACTGTTATGAATTCTTTGAGTGTGCTCCAGGGACCACTGGGAATCTCTGAGAACCTTTCAAAGGGCCTGTGAGGTCAAAACTACTTTCACAATAACATTTAGACACTTTCTGCCTTTTCATCCTCACTCTCTCCTGAGTGCAC